GAAATTTAACAAGTCAAAATATTTAAAAATGATTAAGCAACCAAACTAAGAAGGTTTTCCTGTGTGTAGTAGTAGCCTTAAACATAAGTTAAGTATTGAGTGTGCTATAAAATTTGATAGTAGAATAGTGTTTCAGAAAATATAAAGGAGATATGGCAAAAGTTATTTATCCGTGCACCCGCTTCCCTACTGCCCTGCTCCACTTTTCTCATTGCCATTGCAAATTCTATGCAGTTTCTTATTCTGTTTATATGGCAACCAACATTGGCATGCAACGCATGCGTGTGGCACATGCCACACATGTCGTGTCCAGCACCAGGAGCTCGCTCGTCCTGCTGCTCCTGCTCCTGCTGCTGTTCCAGCTGCATGTTGTTGAGTTTCATGAAGTGTTTGCGGCTTTGTCGGACAACAGCGACATCTCCCCCACGACATCAACGTAAACTGATGGGCTGAACACCAGCAGCCAAGAGCTGTGGAGAGCGATTAAAGTTTTTCGAGGAACCGAAAAAGTCCGGCGATCATCATCATTAGAGATATATAGTGCGGTGTGTCCAGGGTCGGGCTGTTTTTATGCCACGCATTACGGCCGTAATCCTGGCGGAGGGGCAACGAACACAGCCACCGAGGGCCATCAAAGTGGTGCAAGGTCCCTCATAAAGTGCATAACTAAAGCGCAGTCTTAGACTTCACATTCATAGGTGCACAATGGTGTTGTTCCCCACATTGCCCCCCAGCCTCCCCTTTTCCATCTCCTGGCCTTTATTAGATGACACTTTTTTGTTGGTCTATCTGTAGTTTTGTGGCTTTGCGGTCGGGTGATAAATTTCATTGTCTTCGCTGCTGCTGCCGCTGCCGCTGCTATATGATCCCAGTTTTTTCTCCATTCATCTGCGTCCTTCGAGCCATATCAGCAGGAACTATCCAAGTGAGCGACTTGAGGCCCCTCGCAACCGCATCATCAGCAGGTCAGGATTTGGTATATTGCACATAGGGAAAAACCGAGGTATCTTCTAAAAATTAACACCAAGAGAAGCTTTTGGTTTTTAAATTACAAAAGCTTGTGCATAAATTTGCAGTCATTTTATGTAGTTTATGAAATAGTTTTCTATTTAAACACTCCTATAGCAGGATTTATTTTATTTTTAAGTACAGATTTCTAATCTCTAATTACCTCCTGGTACCACCAATAGTTTCCTCTGTGTAGCTTCAGCCATGTGTGCCATCGGTTTGGATCCAACAAATGACACAAAACTGCCAAACGAAATCACTATGAATGTCGCTTGAGTTTCGTCATTCGGACCAAAGTTGTTTCCCCTCGATCTCCCCGCCCCCTCCCACCGAACCCCGCCTTCCCCCATCCCACCGCTGGGGGCTAACGAATTTTGACAGGTGCCATTATTAGTTCAGCACTCTGACATTTTTTGCGGTGGCTCCGCTCTGGTTTTTCGGTTTTCGGTCGGGTTTGGCTTTGTTTCTCGCCCCGTGCGTTCTAGAGTTTTATGGCCATAAGAGTTTTACTCCTCAGATGGATGACAGCAATAAAAGAACCCACAGACACGGGACCTTGATGCGGCCGGCCCGTTTTATCACACGAACACACATTGCTCATACGCAACGGTGGCCACGGGCTTCCGCCTTCCACTTTCCTCTGGCCTCACTGGCTGCACTAATTAAACTTGTGCTCGCCTCTTATTATGGCTGCATTGCATGGCATCGGTTAATGTGAGTTACACGACACGGCACTCGCCGGCCATCTTGCCCCTTCCCCCGCACCGCACCGCCCCGCCCCGCCTACTCTACGCCTCCCGAAGGCTGGGCACCTGGCGGGTTTTTATGCGGCGGTCCCATTGTCTCCCAGGTGAAACTGCTCTGCGGCGAGGGCGTTAAGCATTTATGTGCGCGCCTCTAATTAAAATAAGTTCGCATGGCAATGGCACTTCAAAGTCTAAATTGTCCTTATGGCTTACTTCGCTCCGGCTGCGCAGGACCCAAGGCGCTGCGGACCTCTCGCCGTGCGGCGGTCACCGCCGTCAGATATATGTAATTATAATATTTTTTATTAGCGCATCTGATATGGCGGCAAACGGGCAAATACATAAATTCCGCCGCCTTTGCCTCGGCGTGCGTCCTTCGGGCTCGGGAGCTTTGATTTGCCCAGGGTCTATAAAAAGAGGAGCTCAAAAAAAATAGAAGTGAGTATAATGCTCCCCTGATACTCTCATATTTAAATTATGTATAGAGCAAAGTTTTATACACAAAATTTTAATTTAATTTGTACTCCTCATGAATGCAATTAATAAACTTATGAACTTTACTATTACAAAACTTTTTTCCCTTTTTAATAATTACCTTTTAAATATTTGCTAAAGCGGGCATTTTCCCCAAATCGTTGTTAATCATTTCGCTTTTAGGGTATGCGAAAGTTGTTTACCAAAGTTCACCGGCCATGGTTGTTCGTTTTTTGCAGGTCGCATTGTTTGTTATAAATTTTAATATACTAGATATATATATATATATATGTTGCAGGTAACACGGCAGTGGCAGCCACAATGAGACCACGCCCCTTTCCCAAATCGGACAGACGGGGGGCGGCGACAACAAGGAGCAGGACTACAGCTGCCGCTTTTTATCCTCGTGGATGTCCGAAAATTCCTCGTTCCGGGGTTCCCCCTGAGTTGATAATATAAATGGAAAAACGAAAGGTCGACATTTATTATGAGGCTTTATCAGCAGAGGACATTTGTTCTGTTTTGTGTTATGAGCCGAGGATATTCGGCTACTTGTAGCGATGCAGGACATTGTGGGCAGGACCCGTGTTCCCTGCGAAAATTGTTTGCTTCATTATGTCCCGACTGCGGTTGTCCGACGACGAGGGCACGTGTTTTCCTTGGGGTGGCATCCGTATCAGTTAGCGGTCATAAGCGTCCGGTAATATGCCAAAAATGCCATCAGACGGGGGTCCTCGACCATAAATTACCAGGTGCTTTGTATGTTAATGATTTCGGTGTATTGGAAACTTTTTCCGTGCTTGCGAATGACCCAATTAAAGCTACGCATACTTTTCGGGGCAGGATGTGTTACTTCTCAGGAGGAGCCACCAAAAACACAAATGCATATTTGCTGTCAAGTGGCATTGTCGCCTGTCAGCCGCATTGTTGCTCCCGCTCGTCCTGTTGAGTGTCTAATCTGCCGGCACGAGGATATGCAAGGATATCTGTAGAAGGATATGGAGACGGAGACAGAGCCACTCAACTGGCAGTGAGCTCTGCATGCGGTCACAGCGGAATCGTGCTGAGCGTAAAAATCTTCAGTGCCCTGCTATTTGCGCATTTCCGGTTTCCGTCGCACAGCTGCACGTCCTGTTCCCCCGTCCCCTTGCCCGCTAGTTCTGTGCCCCTCCTCCTTCCCGTGACATCCGGCTGCAGCTGCTGCTGATACATTCTTTATATTCTGCAAATATCCTGTTATGCAGAAAATGCTTCTTGCTGCCGTGTCGTCTTAGTGGAGGCGACAGGCTTTCAGCCATGGGAATTATTAACTAAACATGCCGTCGAGGGAGGAACTCTAAGCCTTGCTATTTCGAAGGCGAGGTTATGGCCTTATAGGATTTTACGAGCACTATCCGAGTATATGATAAATATATTTAGCTTTAGCATAAGGCACTTTATTGTGTCCCATTTTTGAAATCGTTATCTTGTGATCCATCGTTGGTTAGCCACAATATTATTTCCCAGCTTCGGTCGGTAAATAAGCAATGCCTCGTCAAAATACAGCTGCGATTTTTCGTACAAGTCTAAATATATCTATGGGAAAACTTTGCTGGCGGAATGTACTTAACCGTGGGTACACAGCATTTCCAAGTCAAACAATCTTTTTTTGCTACGCCCCCATCTTTTGCCCGACCAAAGTTGAAATAAGCAATGTCTTGGATTTCACATTTTATGCGCCTTTATTTTTTTAGGCAAGAAAACCAGGGGCCAACATGTGCACGCCTGCGAAAGGAATCAGACGAGGGTTGCGGATGACACAGTGAAATCAAAGTCAAATGTAAGTAAATAAAACATATTGTTTCTCTTATAGGAAGACATTTTGCAAAATTACGCCGATTTGCAATGCAAATCAAACATAGCGCCATTACTTTGCTCGCACACAAAGGCCGGGGAAAGTGAAAGTAACGCATGTGTTGTTTAAAAATGCAGCCATCCTGGGATCCTTTGGTGTGCCTGCCTGCCTGCGAGTGTGTGTGTGTGTGTTCCAGTCTTCGAAATCTTTGTGATAATAGACACACTCACACGCACGCAATAAATATAAATGGGTCCCCGCATCCGTGTGCGAGTCTGCTGGTTTTAACCTGCGGCAAAAATGTGAAACAAGAGCCAGCAGTCGCGACGGCAAAAACAACAAAAAAAAACGAACTGGCGAAAAAATATGTTTTAAACATTTTTCTCCGCTTTGCATTTTCCTCCGTGCTTTCCGCCGCTGCTGGTTTTCCTCGTTCCTTTTGGTGCTGTTGTTGTTGCTGCTGCCGTTTCCCCTTCAGCAGTTTGTCGTTTTCTGTTTTTGTAAATTTTTGATTTGTTATTGTTGCACGTGTTGTCCTTTGCCTTTGTTATGCCAATCCATCCTTGGCGGCCCAAGCAGGTGGCACGGATCTCTGGGCGAACGAGTGTGCCCCATCCGGGGCATAAATGTTTTTAACGAACTCACCTGTGGGGCATACGCATAAGTAGCAGAACGTCTTCTTCATGTCACCTGTGTAAATGGAAAGCGGAGCGCTCCGCGAAAATAAAGATGAAAAACAACGCAGATACCGATGGCCAAAAGCCGCGGGCGGAATGAGGAACCAGCCAGGGAAACTGCCATTTGCAGAGATCATAAAGCAAATGAAAGCAAATCACCTTAACTGAATCTTATGGATATTTTTAAAGACTCGGTTAACTGGGTAAAGATACATACTTCCTGAAAAAGCGCCGCAGAAATTAGAACACAAGCTAGATGGTTTATTTTTACAAAATTTTTTTGTTCGTTTTTATTTGTTTTCTTTCAATATATTTATGTATACATAATATAATTTTTGTTGTTTATTCGGTATATTTACTTATTCATCATTTCTATGTTGCAGTTGTTCTTTGTTTTTTCTTCACGCCATTCTCATCTCTTGTTTGTTATTACACTCTTGTTTCTGTGTTATTTTTGTGTTTTTTTTTTTTTCTTGCGTCACCTAAGTATAATTTCTCTATGCGTATCGCCTCTTGTGGCAACCCAGCGTCTAGCTCTAAAACCTTCCCCACCTGTCGGGGTCACCTCTTCGTCGAAACCTCCTCGATTAAATGGTGACCTCTTCGCTCGCTGACATTGTTGTATAATATTTGCTTGCATTTCGCTGCTGGGTTTTCGGGTTTCTTTGGCGCGTTGGTATACAAATACGCAACCAAATTATCCTGGTTTTTATTTGTTTGTTTTTCAACTATAAATATTTTCCTTTTGAATTTCTTGTTATGCTTAATTTGATTAACTCTTTTAATATTCGTTACGTTGTTTCACTTGTGTGTTTTCTTATGCAAATGCCGTTTTGTATGTGTGTATGTGTGTGTGACTTGTGATGCCGTATTTAAGTTGTATATATATTTCTGTTTTGTGTATATTTAATACTTAGCTTATGCATTAGGTTTCCAATTTTCGGCTTTGTTCTTGCTGTTGTTTTTTTGGTTTTTGTTGTTGGTTTTTTGTTTGGTTGTTTGCTTATGTTCTCGGCCCTTATATTCCGCTACAATGTTTTCGATTTTTTCATCCTGTTTGCCTTTCGCCTTTGTGTTTTCTAGTCCTTGTCCTAAAACACACTCAAACATGCTTAAATTTCTACAAAATATTTGCAATACTGCAGTCGATATCTATACTTTGTTTACTTTAGTTATTTGCTATTTACTTATCATATTTTACGTCTGTATATATATATGTGTGTATATATATATATATATATATTGTTCGTATAATATCGATATCTATGTCTGTATCTGTATTTGTGTGTGTTCTGTCCTCGTGTCGAATGCCTTCCAAAACTTTTTCGGTTTAGCTTTTGTTTTCCTTTTGATGTTTGTTTTGTTAGCAGCTTTTGGTTGTTTGCTCATCGTTTGATTTTTTCTACATTTGCATTTGATTTGTTTACAATCTTAGTGTAATTTTAATTGCATAACATGCCCTTCAATCCGTTTGGTTTATTGCACAAAAATATCCCGGGTTGCCTGCGCGGATTGTAGTGAATTTGATTTGGTTCCAACGGTCCTCGTGGCTAGTACGTTCAATAATATAATATTTCTGCTCTGTGTCTGCCTGTAAATTAGATCCTGTCTCATCCTCGGCTGGTGTGTGATTAAAGTTACGGAAACACACTCAGAACTCGGATAAATAGTATGCACTGCCTGCCGTTCGCTTGAAGGGTCTGCCTGCATGTAAATATATATAATTGTTTGTAGCTTAGATAATACTTTTATTTGATTGATTTTCTGTTTCGGTTTCGGATTCGGTTTCGCCTCGCTGCAACTGGATCTCGTTAAAATTTGTTCTCCCCTCGTCTAGTTTAATTTACGCTATGTGCCCCACATGCAGCGCCTGTTTTTCGCGTTGCGTGTGGTAAATTTTGCTAACTGCTCCTGTTTCAGCACTCCAGTTAATTACACTTCGAATTGACTAATTGGTAATTGTAGTTTATGGTTAATAACTGCAATCGTTTCAGTGTGTAGTTGGATTTGACTCCAAACCGAATTAGTAACTCAAAGCGCAGGACTCGGAATTGAATTATGCTTGACTAATGGCGGCAATGGGCTATGATCGGAACAGAACCTGAGTCGATGAATAATAATAATCATCATCGGGCAATATAGTGCAGCTACACAGTACTTTTGTAGTGGTTTGTTTTGGGCCATCCCTCTAGCGGGATTAGTCCTTCTTGCGGTATACGAGATGTGACGTGGGCTTCCATGTGTATAAATACTTTGTATATGTTCATATATATATATATATATAGACGTATATAAATGACTTAGCACATTTTATAGTTACACAACATAAATACATACAGTTACAGCTGTTATCCATATACTCGTATTTTGAATTCTTTTATATTTGTATATTATTTAGTTCGTCGTCTTCGTCAGCTTTGTTTTATGCTTTTACCTTCCACAGTTATGGTTTCTTATTTAGTTTCCAACTCTTCTCTATTTCTACGTGCCAACTACCCATTTTAACTCTTTACTGATATGTAGCGCAAACATTAACAAACAAACCGATAATATTTTTTTTGGTTTTCTGTCTTAACTATAAACTTTTCACTTATAAATGTTTTCCTTTTTGTTTTCCTAGCCAAATTTTTGTTTTCTGCAAAACTGTTTTACGATTATTTTATCTCTTTTTTACTTTTTATTTTTCGTTTGGTCAACAATGTTTCAAATTTTTGTTCTCGCTTTTCACTCAACAAAATTTCTAGAAAATAAAGTAACAACAAAAAACAAAAATGCATTTGTCAGCTTCACTCCCTCGCTTGCATTAATCCGGCCCAATCCCGCCCTCTTTAAAATCACATCTACATCTAAGTCGCATGCCATGCGCCACGTAGTTCCTCTAAGTTCTAGTGCTAAAAACATTTAAATATACAGTACGACTGCCCCAAAGGACCATGTGTCCTGCCGATCCTGCGATCATCGGTTAAAATCCCCTAACCCCTCCTCTCGGACTGAGTGAGCGCATCCTGTGAACATATATATACGTGTTCAGTGTGGGTATTATCAATAGACATTTACTGGTGCTGGGCCACACCCGAGTAACTAAATGCTCTGCCCCGTTTGCTGCGAAAAATTCCACTAAAAAATGACATAACAAATTCCACGCTGCCAGTCGCTGGGGATTGGGGCGTGTCAAATGCAAATCAAGCCTCGTCCTTCGTCCTTTGCAGCCTAATTGTCCGATACGTACGAATACGAATATATGCGAATGCGAATGTGACTGCGACTGCGACTGCCACTGCGATTGCGATTGCGATTACGTTACGTATGCGTATTGCTATTTCTATTACTTGGGATTCTTGCTTGTTGTTGTCGTCGTTTAATTGGTTTTCGTTTCGAACATCTATTTGTGATTTATCATCCAACGCATACAACACAATATACAATAAATATCATTTGCCATACGCCGCTGGCATTTAGTTTTTCTCCTCCGTATGTGAACACCGTGTGTGTCTGTGTGACTGTGTTAGTTTGTGAGTGTATGTGTGAGGGCGCTGGGTTGGTGTGAGTGTAGCTATACGGCCGTATATGTTATATAAGCATGTCGTTTAATGCATACGCTGTATACTCTATGCACTTATCGACGACCTCTAACTCTAAGTCTAGGCTTTACCACTTTACATTTACCATATATACTCTACATTTAGTTTTGTTTTCATATGACTACTTATGTTTCACATTCATGTACTACCTTCTGAAATTCCCGATCCTACAGCTTCGTGTGAGAGTGTCGTGTTGTCTATAAGTTGATTAATGCTCGCCTCGACTTTCGAGTCCTGTGTGTGTCGGCTGCTCTTCCCACTGCCTGCGAATCTTTCTCTGGTTGTTGGGCTGCAAGTGTGTTTATTGGCTTACATGATTAGGCGATAATATCTACTTTATTACGGCTATGCTCGATTAGCTAATATCAATTAATATCATTCGATGGCATACTTTGATTGTTTCAATATATTTTACTTGCGTAGGGGAGTCTGCCCGCTCTATATTACTCATACTCATACCGTGGGTATATATATTTTTAGCTACTTGGATATTCTGTTTGGTTATCGGTTCGGTTTCGGTTTGGTTTCGCTATCGGTTTCGTTTTCGTTTTCGTTATTGGTTTTTGTTAGGTTTTGTTTTCGGTTTCGGTTTGATTTGGTTTGGGTTTCCTTATCGCTTTCGTTTGGCCTAAACAACAGAGAACTAACACAACAAATTTGCAGCTAGCCACTCCTCCTCTGGCAACTGAAATAAAACCATAAACGTAACGTGTACAAACATGGGTTAATTCTGGCGTGTTAAGAGTAAGTTGTTGGAGGGAGTTTGAAACATTTTTGCGGCTGCTTTGTACATGGCTCTCGTGAAGCGCTTGTTGAAAGTATGGAGATAACTGAAGGAGAAATGAAGCAAGATTCAACATTCTGAGGTTTTCAGGCTGGCTGGACTTTCCTGGACTTTCGTACGACTACTATATATTCAGATACTTCAGATACGAACTGCGAGTGCTGGTGAGACCGTGTGAGTGTGCGTGTGTAGGAACCTGGCTTTCGATGCTGATCGATCACAAATCGGTGTGAGTGCGTGAACTTTCAGTTGCATTCTATAGGAAATGATAGCAGGACAAGACGACTGAGTTGGCCAACCAACTGCACTTGGCCCGATTGCTGGCAGTTGTTTCTAAGCAGTATCATCTATCGTAGTTATAGGCACTAGTGCTAAGTGTTTTGGGCGAGTGAAAGCGGATTTGTCTCATCCCTTGAAACTCGTAACTCCCTTAAGGAGTTTAAATGTAAATAGGCATAATCCCTGCTTTCACTCGCCCCGTGAAAGTAGTGTTCGAGTGTGTGTATGTGTGTGTGTGCTAAGCTAAAACCAAACTGCGCACAAAAGTAGGCAATACAAAGTGATGCGGGTCCTGCTGTGAGGAGGATGATGTGGGGTTAAGGACTGTTTGCACACACACACAAATATTTACTTGCATACATGTGTGCACGTCTGTGTGCGCGTAATTAATTTTAACGCATTTTTAATTATGTTTATTTTAATTTAATGCCGCGACTGTGTTTGATTTAGGCTGCTACAACCCACTCGATATATGTTATCCTTCGGCCAAATTGTACCCCCTTTATTTACGCTCGCCACTTCGGTCGGCAAATTCTTCTTTTGGCTTCTTCAATTAATTGCTGTTGTTATTTTTTTGTTTTTTTACGCGCAGTGCTCCAACACATTTACATAAAGCATTAAAATATGTGGTACGAAGTGTGTGTGTGTGAGAGAGACTGTGTGTGTGAGTGGTTGTGTGGTGTAAGCAACTAGGGTTAAAAATATGTTGGCTTTCTTGCTTTTGCATATACATAATAATTGTTTGCTTCCCCGATGCTTATTCAAAGGGCGTTGACAGATATTTATGCTCTAGTTATATATATGTTTAGATATATACTTTGCGGGTGTGGGATTTGGATTTTGCATTCGCGCTTGCGTTTGTTTCTGGGGTGCAGCTCTCTAATATCGCCAAACTTCAAGTTGCCATCAATTGTTTGCAATTTGTGTGTTCTGCGCTTCGCATTTATTTACAGCTCAGTTTGGTTTTGTTTCTGTTCAGAAAATTGCGGCTGTACTTAAAAATTTTGGTTTGGATTTTCGGTTTGGCTTTTGCGTTTACTGTGCCTGCAAGAGTAGAGGATAAACCTTAAAAAATAATATGGGTGTTAGTAAGAATTGGAAGAAAGTAGTAGACGGAATAAAAGTAGTTGTAATGCAAAAACGTTGCTCGTTTCTCTTAAAAACAACACACAAACTCAATATGCAATAATAAATTCTATGGGCTTTGTTTATCCAACCAGAGAGGTTTGAGTTATGCGAGCGCACGAGATAAGCAAATAAAACGAACAAACTAATTGGCAAATATATTACACTTAAAAGATAACAAATGCCGAATTTATGGCAAGATTACTAAGCAATACATGCAAAAAGTATTACGAATTCCACTAGGGGCGGAAATAAAAACGCTCTAAGCTAATATTTACCATCCAAATGTTTATTTTAATATTCAATATGTTTTGTGTTCAATTGTTTCATTCCCTCTCCTCTCGGAATAATGCTATTTAATCAAAAACATGCATGCACACTGACAGATTACAATTGTCTCTGTCCACATTCGGTATTCAAATGCAAAAGAATAACATTAGCAGGCAGAGGCATTCGAATGGCGATGGAATATTTTGATAGTAGACAGAAATATGTACGCATATCGGTGCACACACAGCTGCCGAGCAAACAACCCATCGCACACCCTAACGAACCGGCGCATCGACTCGAAATCAATCGAATCGAGCGCACTATAATGGGATCCAAAACACATTCAAAACTTTCAACAAACGTAGGAGAGATGCACGAAAAATGTTTCAATGTGTCGGGTTATGTATCTATGCTTCTGTGTATCTGTACGAGTATCTCTATCTGTATCTCTATCTGCTTTCGAGGCGGGGGCACCTACCTGTGGGCTCACTTGGAACTGCTGAATCGGATAGGCCACCACGCCGGCGGCCTGCGGAATGGCGGTGCCGGCCACGCCCGTTGCCAGCTGCTGGGCGGGGGAGATCTGCGCCTGGGTGACGCCTTGCCAGGTGGCGGGAATCTGCACGCCCATCCTGCAACGACAGGCGAAAGTTTACAAACATGAGTACACGGGGAGAATTTGTATAGTATTAAACTATTTCATTAAACCATTAAGTACTTAATTTCAAAATAATGTTCTAGTTTTCTATAAAATAATAATGTTATTACTGTTAAAAAAAACAGGGTTCTTTTTTTTGGAATATTTGATATATTCCCACAAGAACTACTGAAATAATTTACAGTTCGTCGCACAGTGCAACGAATCCAGCAGCTGATCCGGCGGTGAAAAGTCCCCGGAGCGTGGTGTGCGCCACAATTATCACGGGCAGTCGCCGGATGGCAAAGGGATTCGGGACCTGGACAGATGATGCGAGTGCGGGAGGGGAAACGAAATTTACGCGACTGCGATGCAAATAGCACGTTATGTTGACAGCCCGACGGACGCGGAAATGTATTTCATACGGACCGCAGACCGAGGACGGTGCAAATGAAAAACTTTCGCAATTAGCAAATGAATTCACCCATCCGTCATGCTGTCGTTGTTGGTGTCGCCTCCGTTGTTGTGTGTCCCGATCCCCGGTGGCGGTTCAATCATTGCACAAAGTAGACAGACGGGCAGGGGAATCGTTGGATTGCTTTCTTTGCACATAGAGAAATATGCGATACTCATTCCACAAAATAATTGACTTTAAAATAAGATACATTCTAACTAAAGTTGAATAATCGGTATTCCTTCAAATTCCTTTCATTTCTTTCACTCCTTTATAAAGTTTCCTGAGGCTTTTCTATCCCGGAAAATCAGCTAATAAAATTTATGTGCACAAATCCGATGACAATGGCTAGCCATTGACCACTGACCCTTGACCCCAGCATCCCCACTCACCCCATGTATCCCTGCTGGTAGCCGCCGTACTGGCCAAAGTGGTAGCCCTGGATGCCCTGCAGGAACTGGTTCTGCACGGCCGCTGCACTGGCCGCCGCCGGGGTCACCGCTGCCGCCGTGGCCGAGGAGGCCGGGTAGGTGGGCGTGGGCGAGTACCAGCAGCCCGTGGCGGCCAGCTGCTGTCCGTAGGCGGCGGCGGCGGCAGCCGCACCCACTCCGTACGGGAAACCAGCGGCGGCGGCAGCAGCACTGTTCAGCGCCTGCGTGGCGATGGTCTGTGCGTTGTTGGGGTCGCCGCTCTCCTTGCCCCACGAACACTTCACGGGCTGCGCGTTGATCTCCGTGTTGTGGACGCCGACGATGGCGTGGGTGGCGGCCTCCTTAGTGGAGAACCTGGAGAGAAATATGATTAAATTGTTAAAATATAAAATGAAATATATATCTTAAATATTAATCTACTTAAATAAGTTTAAAATGTTATAGAACTTTTAATTGCTAAGCTTACCGCACGAAGGCGTATCCCTTGTCCTTGAAGACGCGGATCTCCTGTATCGCGCCGAAGGGGGCGAAGGTCTTCTGGAGGACCTCCTCGCTGAGGGCGGTGAGGGCGCTGTTGACGCCGCCCACGTAAACGGTGCAATTGGAGGGACTGCTCTGATTGTAGACCTCGTCGAAGGTCAATGGCTTGATGTTCTCTGCGGAAAAACAAGGAGGGGAAGCAAGTGTTAGCCGGGCTGGGGGTGATGGATTTCGATTTAATGCTGCCGCTCCGAAGGACAATTTATGCGAGGCAGTTTTTCTGTTCGCCTCCGGCTTTCATCCGCCAGCTGCATGATTAATATGCAAATTAATTAACGGATTTACCCGCAACAACGGCAGCAACAACGCAACAAGAGCAGCCTCGGCAACATTTTGGTAATTAAAATAACCGCATGCACTTAGTCAATATGCTTGTGTGTGTGCGGTTCCAGTGTGTGACTGTTCAAGTGTGTGTGTGTCGTGGAGGAAGAGGAAGAGGGGTAGGGAAAGGGGAAAGGGGGAGGGCAACACCATTTACCGTTGCTTTCTTGTTGTTGCCGTTGCATATTTAAAATTGTTGCGGTTGTTATTGCATTTTTTATTATACGTATTTTGTGGATATACATTTTTCGTGTGCCGTTTTATTGTCGCCATGCTTTTTGCACTCACTGTACGCCACAGTATACAGTACAGTATATATAGTAATGGTCTGAACCGACCCCACATTGTCGTTGTCGTTGTCGTTGCCCTGATTGTTGTTCCGTATACGACATGTATGCACGTATTTGTATGCAAAAGCAACACTAATTACTTCCTTTGAGGTTAAAACTAAATTTGCACTTTTAAAAATAATGTCGGCTTTGCGTGTTTATGTCTTTGTTTAGTTTTTTGGTAGCATTGCCACGCACTGTGTGACCATAATGACAATTGCCCAGATCGATGGGCCAAGTCGAGCTGCGAAAAGAGAAGAGCTGCTTTGTGAGCTGCTCTGTGAGCTGCTCCAAGAGCTGCTCCAAGTGGACCTTGTAGGTTCAGGTCCACTTAGCCCAGCCTGTTAATGGCAGCCAGCTCCCGACCATTCCCCATTTTCCCGTTTTCCGCCCATCAAAATGCCATTGCAGGATGTCTGGATTTGTGTGTGCGGCTGCTTTTTGTTCCGCCTTCGACTGCGCAGCGAACATGCCAAAGAAACACAAAAATATGGCTCAATGACATGCAACAGGACTGCAGCACACACACACGCCACAACAATCAAAGCTCCGTGGCGAGGGTGCAGCCGAAAAACATGGAAAACTAACAAGCTCGCAAATACTTTTGAAAGCTTTTGCCACAAATGTATGCGCTTCGGCCACGCACACACACGCAAGAGCACGACACTCGCAAAAATGGCCAGTAGAAAATCGGGTTCCCTTTCATTTATTTTCTTTAGGTTTCCTCAAATCTTGTTATATTTTTCTGAGTGCAGGAAAACACGGACTGACCGAAAGAAATAGGGGCTGCATACTTTTCAGCGCCATGTTTCACTAATTTGCACTTTGCTTTGTGTTTGTGTGCACCTCCATTTTCCCCGTATTATTTCCACTTTTTGTTTTCTCTAATTTCTTTTTTACGCTTTTAAATAGGTGTAATTAAATTTTGAAAATGCAACCAACGAGCCTTACATACTCGTAAACGCCCTACGTGCCCAGCCTTGGGGTTCGGTTAACCCGGCCAAGTTTCATGTCCGCGGCAAATTAAAGCACTCTCAGAGCAGAGCAGCGTGGCCATAATTATCGCACATTTTTGTCTACGACAAACCATGTGCATTCCCATTTCCCATTTTCCATTTCCCATTTCATTCCCGTTTCGCGGGGGCGGACACGAGTAATTGGAGTCTGGTCAGCCCGAGGGCCATTATGGAGCCAAACGGCGAGTGCCACCGGCGCGGCGGCAGGTGCTCCCATTCTTGGCGGCGATTTGAAATTTTAATGAGCAATTATAGGCATGTAAAACTAAATCATGAAATAATCACCAAATCATTAACATAAATAATTCACATTTTTACACGCAGCAAAAACAACACGGGCCTCGAGGACGTGGCCAACACTTGAGCAAATTCAAAAGTAATTAATATGCATGGAAATGCTCGCTCAGCAGGGGCGCTTTTTTAGGGGGCGTTCTTGAGGGTCGTCTCGCATGGGCGTGGCATCGTGCTAATTAGAGCGCTCGTTACCCACCAAAAAATCCAAATTTAATTTTTCTAAAAATCTTTCTAAGCCAAAGCTGTGTGCAGAACTATAACATAAAGTAAAAGACGTTTCCTCACTGTATTTTCTTGAAGTATATCCCTCAGGTTTCCACGTTTATTCCCCCTTTCCCCAAGCCGAACGCATCGAGGCATTTAAACTTTTACTTAATTGTGCGCAACTCTGCATAAAATGTTGATTTATTGCGTCAACTGGCAACTTCCACGTAACGAGTTCACGTAACTCCAACTTTGCAAATATTTTCCTGTGAGTTGGCCAATAAAGCACCCACACAGCCGGGTCAAAAGTCAAATAGTTTCGGCAAAGAAATTTGTCATACAACATCGCTGTCGTCTTTGTGCGGCGTTGTCGTCGGCATATTGTTTCTGGTTAATTAAGTTATTACCATAATGAGCTTGCAGGTATTTCGGGCCTTATTTATGGCCATGCACTGGAATAGAGTTGGGTTTGGCGACTGCTTGACAAAGGTAAAACTTTGTAAGAACTTTCCCTTTCGAGGGGCCATAAAAAGGAGCCGCGGCAAATGCGTTTGTTATAAAGCAGCAGAAAATGGCTGAAGGGGAAAAATACTCTTAGCCGGGCACGAAATTGCAAAGCGTCGCCAAAATTGTCACAACTGTAAAATGCGCAATTGCGCCGGGTCGTAAATCTTTGGCAACAATGGGGCAGACACATGAGTGGCCCACTAAACGCGGACGGACGTGAAATGTGCAGCCTGCTTAAAACATAAAAACGCCGGGCCAACTCGATGGGATTGCCAAAAGAATCGAGCAAAGTGGCTGCGTAAAACATGAAGTAATGCGAATGCCAAATGCGAAATGAGTTGAGTGCTACAAATCGTAAAGTTCGCCAGCAGTCGCTAGGCGGGCCGTAAAAGCCATGCCCATTTTCCAGCCAGCCCCTGCATATGTGGGGCGGCTCATAAAACCCTTTAGCGATTGGATGGTGCCCTTCCGCTGCCCCAGCTGCCCCATCTGCCACCTCGGCACAAAAGCGCCGACTCAGCCCTCGGGGCGATCAAAAAATCAAAATTATTTCGCTGTCAAATTGCTAATAATAACTTGTACTACAGGATGCCCCAACTACCGCCCAGTAATTCTGCTCCAACCTACCGAGCTCACTGAACGGAGGAGCAGACAAAACCGTGACACAGTCAAATAAACAATGAGACCAATAAAAATACGCTTAAGCTTTCATAGGCGTTTTTTATGACAACAATATAAATGCAAAGGGAAAATATTATATTCAGGAAAACCCCTACACTCCCCCCACTTTCCCCGAACCCTTCAACAGTTTTCGGGCCTCTGCACGATAAATTCCACCTTGACTCAAACTAGTTTCCCCAAATATTCGTTGTGTAACCCTGTTTGTCTTCTCTGTGTGCATTTGTATGTGTGTGTGTGTGTAAGGACCCTTTATGATAATAGTTTCGTGTTGGCAAAATTTATTTATCTGATTCGAACCGACTCTGGGCGATTGTGTGTATGTGTGTGTGTGTGTCTAACAAATAAAAATTATGTTAAAACATGCAAATATGCGTTAAGTTTTGATTTATGAGAGACAAATGGGGGAGAACCCCGCGCATGTTTGTCCGCTGTTAATAATGATTACGCCCGGCTAAGTATATAGTTACGGGAGGTTGACAACGATCCATGGCCATAAATTGGGGGGCGTGTCGCCGGGCCTAAATGAAAATTGATTTGCCGTTCCTAATTGAATGCTTCTAGACGGGCTCCCCTTTTTTCTACGTATAATTCTGGGTCTAATTGAAAAAGTTTAAACCAAATTGGGTACAGCCCATTACGGAAATTAAGCGCGTGCGGCGAAGAAAGGACAAAATATTAAGAAAACATAATCTGCCAGAAAATTTGTGGGACGTTTATAAATAGCGGGCGGTTTTCCTGAACCCGCCGCTCCTCATCCCGCTTTTCCACAGGCTCACATTTGGCCCTGGCATTGTGCCTGTGTCGCTCCACCTTTGGCATTCATTGCCATAATTTCCTGTAATAAGAACGACGCGTCGGCTGCCATCATGTCTGGGTCTGAATTCGAGTTCGAGTCCGGGTCTCCAGTCCGCAGGCCGTAGTCCGTAGTCTGTAGTCTGCAGGCCGTAGTCTGCAGTCCGGGTGTACGCACACCGGAAACTCCGCTGGCCTGCCGACTGGGGTGACACTCATGATTTCCTTACCTTTACTCGCCGGCGGTTTCCGTGTGGCCCAATTCGTGCGAATTGAACGGGAGCCAAGCCACTGGCCATTCATGGCCGTAATGGCGCTCTCGGCTTCCTGCGGGGCGATAATGAAGACAGAAACGCAGTCAGAAGCAGAATCGGAGTAAAGAGCACACGGTGCAAAAATATCAGTCAAAAAAGGTAATCTCTACTTTATAAACGTCTGTTTAAAGAAAAGATTCCTATCAAAACCAGTGCTTTAATAAGCGTATATGGTAAATAAAAGAGCTATATTGGATTAAAATATAAAGTAGTAAGTCTTCTGATATTTTTTCACCGTGCATTGTCAAACTCAAAATAAAGAGCCTGCGCACGACTGCATAAATATGCACTTAAATATGCTAATGCCGCCGGCGGTTCTTACCGATTTCTTGATGAAGGACACAAAGCCATAGCCCTTCGACTTCAAGGTTTGTGGATCGCGCACCACGCGACAGTCGCTGCAAGAAAAAAAGAGAGGAGAACACGAGATGTAAACATTAAAGTCGCAAACTGAGTTCCTCGTTCTTAATATATATCCACCACCGAACGGAAGTCCTGACAAACTTTAAAATTTATGCAAATTCCTAATAAAGACATCTCTGGAGGTCTCCGCCTGCGTCTCTGGCTTGGCCGACGTGTTCAAATATTTCCGTTCGAGTACAAAATACAAATATATTCAGTCTGTGTTTGCCGGCCTGGGCGTGGCCCTTGTAATTCGGAAATTAGAAATCTGACCTCATGCTGGAAAGTTTTTATTTATCTTGCAGTTTGCGAGGGGGATTTGCTGCCAAGCTGCCAAGCAAGAAGCCAAGCCACGCATCTCCGCTACGGCTTTAAGATAACGATAAAGTTTTGATGAATTTCCCTCATCCGACCCGTGATTTGGCCAGAACGGCCAAATCGAACGGCGCTCATTACAGTTTCGGGAAAAGGACCTGCTCGTTTTGGTCACTTACACTAGTGACCCGGCACTTGTGCCAATTGGCCAACTTCCGACTCGGGGGCCCAAATTGATTTCCCCCAGCGGCTGTACGACTTCTCATTTGGACAATTGGGGCCTCGACACCGCACTAAAGCGAGCTGCCAGGAAACTTTGGCAATTACCCCCGGTCCGGCAGTTTACTTTTCATTTATGAAGCATAAACCACAGCGGCGGCGAAGTTGGCGACGCTGGCCGGCAACTTTTTTTATGATTATTATAAGTAAAACGCCGAGAGAGACCCGCTGGGGTTTGGGCCGGCTTTGGCTTTGGCTTTTTTTTGGCTTCAGCTTGGGCCCTTGCTTCTGGGGTTTGTTGCCAGGACTTATTAAATATTCACACGCGCCGCGCATTTAACAAAACGAAACAAAGCGCGCCGGGGCCCAAACATAATGCCAAAACCAGGCAACACCAAGCCGGCCAATAATGCCCGGAAAACCAGAAAAACAAAGCCCGAAAAAAGGGCAAACAACGCCAGGCACGCATAAAAGTTTTGACAGCCGGGGCGGGGACATCTTGATCCCCGGAGCCGCACGACCGAATCCCGCCGACTTTGTGCGTTAAGCGTTTTGACATGTCGGCCAGCAGATCGACTCGGCCCGAAAGAAAAAGCAAAGAAATAAACTTCCTAAGCCGGTCCCATACCATCACCATCGCAGATAATCAGCTGGCAACGGGGCTGAGTTTTCGGGGAGTATCGGCGATAATGATGTCAGCGATAGCTATCACAAAGGTGGCAATCGGTGTTCAATAGCTCCGAAATCCGTAGCCATCGATACGGTTGTCAACAGGCGAGGCTGGCAAAGGAATAACTTTTATTTTGCCTGACGACGGATTTATTTATGAAGCATGAAAATATCTATTTCGTATAAAAATTTCAAGAATTGTTTATCAAGGGATTCTTCCTTATAATTTTTTTAAAAGTCTTTTAAAGCATACTTAAACTTCCTGGTTTGAGGAGTACTTCTGAGAGTCGTACACTCCCACAATGCTTTAAAATTCCACCCATCAAACATAATTGCCTTCCATATTTGATCCAAGACATGACCAACTCATTAGCGAATCAGAAAGCCCTTAACCCAATCAGGCCAGAGTCATTAGAATGATTTTGAAATTATTAAAATTTAAATTGGCCACGGGCAGGCAGATGAGCAGAGCAGATTGCCCGATAGACTGGCTGACTGAATCCGCAGTTTCGCGATTCAAACAAGCGGCAAATCCGAAAATCAAATACTTTGGCGTAATTTTTGATAAGCCGCCGCAGGGCCTCCTTTTCCACGGGGAGAAGGGGGAGGAGCCCCTCCTCTGGGGAGACGGACTAACATTTTGACTCAAAACTTTGCGATTAAACAGAAGTTAATTAAGCCAAGTTTTTGATGCTGTCGTTGCCACGGAAGAGGCGGTGGGCGCTGGGCGGTGGGTGGTAAGTGCTTGTGGGCGGGCTAGTGACTTTGCCTTTTCATGCCGAAAAATAGCAACTTAAATATTTGAATGGCCCGGCTCTTTGGCCCGCGCTTTCGAGGCGACACTTACAGACAGCGAAAAGAGTTCGGCCAAAGTGGCATTTGCATAAATTCATTTTTTGCGCTCGGTTATGAATATTTTATGGAGTGGCGGGCCTCCTCCACACGCGCCTGCCAATAATCAAGGAGTGTGCGACAGGAAAATTGTCGCAAAAAAGGGGAAAGGCGGAATAAAAGCTGCAGAACGGGGAAACGCGAGAAAGGCAATTCCGAGTTAACTGGCAAATGGAAAATTTGCATTTTAATACTTACGAGATTTCGCCGAATGGTGTGAATGCTTCGCGCAATTGCTGAGTTTCAATTTCTGAGCTCAAGTCGCCGACAAAGATGTGGAATTGTTCTGCAAAAAAGAAAGAGAAAGTGCCAAGTTGAGTATCGGGTTTTTCGCAGATTTTCACAGATTTTGGGGGACTTTGGAAAAGGGTTGCTGCTGCCGCTGGCGCATCGTGAATCGCACAAAATATGCGCCAGATAAAAACGCAAATCAAAAGAGAATCCCAAGTCATGCGCTTTTATTTCGCAATTTATTGCCAGCGCTGACGCAGTCCTTTAATGCATATTCACAGAAAAAATAAAGGATGGAAAAAGTACGAGGAACGAGAAGTTTCTCATATATAATTTTATGCTGCATAAGCAGAGATAAGTTAATTGAAATCACAAAGGAGCCGCGCAGATTGATGGGTTCAAAGTGAGTGGGCGGCTGGGCGGAAGCGATGACAAAACTTGCCGGCTTCCGACCGACTCTGATTAGTTTTTCAGAAACGTCGCGGAAAACTTTGCCAACTGTGTGTCTTTTGTGCTCTCGCCCATCCTCCTATCCTCCCATCCGCCCATCCGCCCATCCGCCCTCTCGCCCCCTGAAGAACGTCCCCATTAATACTAATTAACCCATTCATCTAAGTAAACTTTCCACGCTCGAATCTTCTGGCCCCATCATCAGGCCAAACATCGTGTACACATGCACAAACTCAAAGCCGTTCGCTGTCATGCAGGCTGCACAAACACAAGTGCAGTGGGTGGCGGGAGGTCCTTCCAGCAGCCCAACCACCCTTGCATCCAACCTCCGCAAGACACTATAAAAACTTGAGGGTCTGAAATACTTGCTTACTATCATAAATCTTCTCGGAGATTCAGATATTATTTTATTGTAATTATACAAACGTTATAAGTCTTTTCTACATATTTAATATCTTCATCAAAGAAAATGGTTTTAAAATACTTTATTTACTTTAAGATAAGCTTTAATCACACTTTTTTAATTTCTTGTTACTATCCACCCAAATATTTGCTGAGTGTACACCTACACAATAAGAAACTCGCATGCAAAGCAAACACACCCACACTCGCACGAATCGCAATCATTTATTATTATTTTTGTGTGCTTTGTCTCTTTGGCACAGAAAAGTCGCGAGTGCGGAGAAAAGGATTCGAGGAGGAGGCGCGAGGGGCTTCTCGAATGGGAAATCCTAGAGGGGGTGGCTCGGGACGCTAGGTGGTTTAGGCGGTGCTCGTCGGTGTCCTTCGTGCGCTCTTGTGTCAGCTCAGTTTGGTCGAGCCCAGCTCAGCTTGGCGCTCAGCTCGAAGACTTGGCAAAGGCAGAACAGCCAAAAGCAAAGGCAGAACCGGCACGGCGACGCACGTGGGGTGGTAATGGGTTAAGGGCCAATGCAGCGGGCTTTTTTCGGGGGTCAGCCCCCCACCGTTCCCCGCACAAACACACACACAGAGAATTCTTACCCTAAATAATTAGCACTATTCAGCTGGGGCCCACTGACGACGACGACGACAACATTCGAGGCTGACAACGCCGATGGGCGCGGCCCAGACCCTCCCACCGGCAGCCATCAAGCAGTAACCACCCACCGCCCCCCGCCCAATGGCCTTGTCTGCTGCACGTGCAGAAATTAACATTTCCGGTAATTTTGCGAAAATGAAAAGCAAAGCGAAAAATTAACGGCAGCGTCGTCGGCGCGGCCGCAGCGAAGGCGAAATGCGAAATGCGGAAAGCTTTTGTGTTAAATAAATATTAAAAGGAATTTCCCAGAGCCAGCGGAACTGACGGACGAGTCGCAAGGCGAGAGGGGAGCTGGCGGAGCGGGGAATCTGGGCGGGCTGAGTAAGGAGAATCGCTGCGACTGCGGCCTGTTGGCCTTTTAAAAACACAAACCAAACGAGTAAATCTCTGCGTGTTCACGTGTACAAGTATACGAAGGAGAGCACTGAGAGAAAAATATGAAGCTTGAAATCAGAAACAGTTTGAACAACCAAACAATTATTCAATGATTTACCACTTACACCACTTAGAAAAGAATCTTTCTTCACACAAATTCAAAGTATGTGTTGTGCTGTATTAACATAATTGAAAAGAAAGTAAGGGTACATTTTAATCAGCCTTTTTTTTCAGTGCTTGTGCTCGTTTGTACGTGGCCACTTTTTATTTAATTGGAAATTGCGTATACGCCACCGTTAATGAGCCCATTGTAATCGCTGTGGCGGAGCGGAGCTCGGCTTAGTACGTTGAGGCGGCTTGACTCGGCTCGAGTAGTTGGGGTTATTGTAAATCAATCGTTGAGGCTCGCTCCGGCGGTTGCCGGGTTATTGCTTTCGCCCCTCTGCATACTTGGCTCAAAGGCAAATGGCAAATGGCAAAAGGAAAATGCGAATGTGCAAAGGGGAAAGCAGGCACGCAACTTGCTCGCAACCTGTGAGATACATTCTGGCATATAAGTGTGCGAGGCAGACAAACGAGGCAGCCACTAATTGCAGTCAAAGGCCGCTTTAAATTTGCACCGAGCCGAGGAGGACTCGATTGGCAGTTCCACGGCGGGAGCCACGCCCCCTTATGGCAGCCGCCTTCGGTGTCAGGATGTCAGGAACTGGCAGCTTTTCATTTCTTTCACTCGCTTCCGCCGTTCCATTGGCCGTGTCGGCTCGTTTGCTGATTAAAACGGTGCGTATGTAATGAGTTAATTAAGTTTTTGCCATCGTTACAGTCGCCCATCCTCGACGTCGTTGCCACTGCCGCCGCTGCCATTGCGTTCTCGTTGCCGTTGTCGTTGTCTTACACACACATAAATTAATCATAAATCCTCGCTAGCTGCACGGCAGTTACAAGTGTTTTGTATATTTGCCGAGGACGCACCTGTTCCCTTCCGCTTGCCTGACTCCTTTCCCTCGCCTTTGCCTTTGAGTTCCTTTCCTGCCATTCTGTTGCTGTCTGTTTCTGTGCCGGAGCGTTAACAACGTCGTGAGCCAGGAAAGTGAGCCAGGTGATTCGGCGAGTCGCCTTCGGACTAAGTGTGTCAGCAGTGCCGCCCGCCACGCCCCCTTGTACCATTTGATTAAAGACGGAAGCTACTCAGGGCGTAAACAAGTGGCCATGTGTGAGTGAGAGTGGAGCACTCAACGAAAATATCCCTCAATCCATAAATAATAAATACTTTAAAATGAAATCTCAATATGTCATTCCCTATAAACTCATAAATAACCTAAATATTCTTAAGAGTTATCTATGCTTTATTTTGTATTTTATATTAACATTTGGCATTTTCCTCCTCTTTGAAAAGCCCACCTTGGTTTTCCCCAGTGCACAACTATCCACTTTTACGCCTTGTCTTTGCCTGGCTGCTCCTCCTGCTTTGTTGGCTTTAGTTGTTGTAAATTTTATGTTATCCGCTTTCATTGTTTGTACGCCTTTATTTATGTTACCCACTGCCTGCCGCCCTGCTTTACTGATTTGCCGTTGTTATTTATGCGTTTGTGCTAAACCTTATTTCCTGTTTGTCTTACATAAGCTGCAGCGCTTAATTACACGCAACCCCATCGAGGACACGATTCCACACAGGATGTGGCTGGCAGGATGGCAGGATAGCTGGTTGGCTGGTTGATCTGCCCCCTGGGAGCCAAGATGTATGCGTTCCATCGATGGGGAGCCTAATGTTTTATTGACCGGCCTTGGCAATCTCATTTGGCAATTCACTTTGTAGGCGACCACACGGCGTATGCGTAATGGCAATTATGAACTCGCCGAACTAAGTGGGCAGTGCATTAAAGCTAAAAGCGTTTAGCCGGCGGTCGAAAACCACCAGCTGACCGACTACGCCACTGATACCGTCCCGCTGTGACACTGAAAGCCCCAAACAAGCAAAACAATTTGACGCCAACAACCGCAAAACGTGCTGGCCGCCCAGCATCCGCATCCTCATTCGCATTCCCATTCGCATTCGCATCCGCATCCGCATATCCGCATTCGCATATAAAGGACCGGCCCACAACTCATTCCCAAATACGGGACCCGCCCACAACTTAACCCAAAAATTGATGAATATGTAAGCAAATACGGGGGACCAACACGCAGCGGGTTCCCATCCCCACACCCAAACACGCACACTCACACACACACACAACCATACACATATACACGCATAAAAAAGGATCAAAGTCCTGAGGCGCGTTAATTTTCCCAGACGTCAGCAGGAAAGTTGGGCGGTCGAGATCCCTTCCCCCGCTCCCCGTGAATATGAACCAGGGCCACAAATTATATTGAAATGTTAATAATCCAGTTGCTTAGACGTGCTGGGCCATCAGCCCGGGATGTCCGAAAAGGACAACTCAACTGTGAAAGGATATTTACATGGAGATTTGTATGCCGCTGACTTATGACTTTGATCAATGCCGGGCAGCCCGGGACCCAATCAATGGGGTCCCTGCCGCATTTATGGGCCCTCGAGAGTCACTTATGCCCACAATTTGGCACTGCGGTTGTCTGTGGCGCCGCCTAAGCCCGATACACTTGTGTGGGGAGCTTGGCAAATCTTAAAATTAAATTTGCTCGGGGCAAATCAGGGCGCATTATAAAGTATAATGTGCTTTTAATTTCATTCATTTGCATGAAATGCTAGTGGTAGAAAGGAGAGTGGAGAATGGAGAGTGGAGAATGGAGAATGGACCCTGGCCTGCTGCTAAGTGAAGCTAAAAAATCTAATTAGCGTTGGCCGCTGCACGAGTCGACTTAAAGCAAACTTTCCGCTTTAATTCCATCTTGATTACGTCCTCGAAGTGCAGCTGCGTCGCCTGTTTGTGCAACTCGCTGCCACTCGCAACTCGAAAGCCAATCAACTTGACTCGCTAATGAAACGGCAGTCACTTTAAGGAATCCCAACTACCGACTCGGCGACTCGGTGCCTCGTTGTCGCCATTAGACGCCGCCTGCCGATGATAATGCTGATTTTTAACGCTGATTACCGCAAGCTGCCAGGCCGCAATCCTTTGCCACCTTTTCTCTGCCTCTCCCCCGAGTCTTAGATAACCGAGCTCCGGAGTCAGCATCATTTCCGCAAG